TGCATAAAATTAAAAAATGATCAATTGGACTTTATCAAAGTATAAAACTTTTTGTTAAGCACACTGATAAAGAATGAAAAGACAAGCTACAGAATAGGAGAAAATATTTTCAAACCCTATGTCTAATAAAAGACGTATCACGAGGGTACAAGAACTCTCAAAACTCAACAATATGAAAATAAACAACCCAATGTTTAAAAATGGGCTAAAGACTTAAATACACATTTCACCAGAAAGGATATACGGATGGCAAATTAGCACCTGAAAAGATGTTCAACATCATCAGTCATTAGGGAAATGAAAATTAAAAACATGATGAGAAACCTCTACATACATATTAAAATGGCAATAATAAGTTAATTAACAGTAATAGTATCAAGAGCTGGTAAGGACAGGGGACAACTGGAACTCTCATACATTGTTTGTGGGAATGCAAAATGGTACAGCCACTCTGGAAAACAGTTGGGCAGCTTCTGCAAAATGAAATATATATTTACAATATGACTCAACAGTCCCCCTCCTAGGTATTTATTCAAGAGAACTGAAAATGCATGTTCACACGAAAACTTGTACATGAATATTTATAGCAACTCTATTTGTAATCACCAAAGTTGGAAACAACCCAGTGTTCCTCAACGGAACACATCCATACCATGGGGTACTATTCAGCAGAAAAAAAGGAACAAGCTGTTGATACAGGCAGCAGCCTGGTGGCTCTCAAAGGCATTATGCTGAGTGAAATATAAGCAGTCTTAAAAGATTTCACACTGTATGATTTAATTTATATGACATTTTGCAGAAGAGAAAACCATACCAAGCAAGATCAGTAGTTGCCATGTGTACAAAGAACTGTACACCAAAAAAGGAAGTTTTACTGTAAGTTACTTTTAAAAATAAAATGAAAATGGCAATGTAAACCCATTATGTAAATGTAACACATTTTTATGAAAATTAACCATATTTTCAAAAATAAAAAAATTAGTATAAACAGTGGCATTGTTTTACATTTTTGTAAATTTCTTTACCATTGAGCTTAACAGAGACAGCTGTATTCTCATATCTCCTTCTGTATTCACTCTTTTGCCATACCATCTGTCATATAGTCACTGGAAAACCCCACTAGACACTTGAAAGAGAATAAGAGTGAAAAAAGCAAATAATTTCTTAGTATTATTATGATCATTGTTTTGACTCTATGGACCACCTGAAATAGTCTTGGGGATTCCCCAGGGCTCCTGGACCATTTGAGAACCACTGATATATAAGGTACCATTCCAAATTTTATTTTCATAGCATCAAGGCTTTTTTTTGCCATACCCATATTTCCTATGTTTATTTAATGCTTTTGTTCAAACTAACCCATTTTTTAAAACAAAATTTTTTAAAAAGAAACTTTCTGTATCTCCTATAAATGGGAAGCGCAGTACCACTTCCCCATAAGTGGAAAGTTACTACAAGAATAAATATGCAATGAGTAAGTTATATTGAATTTTAAAAGATTTATCCACGAACCATCTAAACTCATCTCTGTGTGGTACTATTTGGAAAACACTAATTCAGAGAAACAAGGACAATGATGTGACATACCACTTCATTTATGTTGGCAAATTTAATCCTCACCATTACCATCAGAGATAGACAGTATTACTAAATTTTAAAATTTTAAAAAATGTGTGTTTAAAAAATGGAAGCACAATAAAGTTAAAGTTGCCCAGTGTTCCACAGGGAGTAAATTACAGGGCTGGGATTTGAACCCAGGCAACCTGGCTCCAGAGTCCAGGATGAATGCCGTGTGGGCAGATAGGAAACTTGGATTCTTGTCCAACTTCCACCTGCAGTTGTCAGTAGGACATGTCACTGAGTCTTACTGTCCTCAACATTGAAGTGAAGGAAGTGGGATAAATTAGGGCATGGAAGTTTAAATGATGGGTGCCTGTCCAAGGGGCCAGGCAGGTATGGAAACGGTGGGCTGAATGTAAGTTGACAGGGAGTGGTGGGGTCAGTGGCAAACGAGAGGGCTTGCATTCCATCTAAAGAAAGCAGCTCTTACTCAGTTTCAACTTTTCTGTTTTGAGAGGGATTTTCTGGGTTAGTTTTTTTCAGATGTCACTTTATTTTATTTTATAAGAGTAGTTAAAAGTCTGGAGACTTTGTGTAAAATTTCTCAATTTGTACAACACTTGGAGAGGCCAGCCACACACATGAGCTGGCTGATATATGACCAGATGATCTCCTTTGACTTAGAGGAATCTGTGATTGAGTATGCTGTTACTACACAGTTGGAGAAACAAAATCCAAATGACAGAAATAGGCAGCTTAAAGCAATGATGAAAGGGGATATGAACTTAGAAAGTGTCCCAACTCAGTCTATATAAATATTGATTCGGTTCTGGGTTAAAAGAGCTAAGGTGTGTTAATAGAATAATAGTGTATTTCTTTATGTTTATGAGAGTAAGTCAGCAATACTTATCTAGTGCTAATTTTTGGTTTGCAGAGAGCTAATGTAATCATTAGATGAGCTTATTGAAATTCTTTTCTTAGACATAGAGACTTGCCCAAGAATGGTATTAGGAACTTCAGTCAGCACTGGCACAGAATAGTAAATACAAACACGTGATTTGTGCCATTGTGTATACAGAGTAATGTTTCCTGAGACGCTTTCTGTATATGTGTTGGCTGTTTTGCTCTTTGGGGTTGTTTAATTTCTTCCCCCTCCTCTGCTTATCAGATTTCGTTCTAAATCCTGGCATTTGACAATGTTGTAGGGCTAGTTTCTCTGAATCCACAGTGAGACATACTGGTGGTTTCACAATTAATCCAAACTTGGGTTTATGGCTAATATGTGTTTATTTGAATTCCTGCATTTATTTTTATGTATTGTGTATATACATAGTACTCAGAAAGCCTGTTTCAGAGAGAAAGAGGAAGGAAGACTAAATCTATAGACTGAATCTTGAAAGATGGGTTTATTCATCAATGACATCATAAGGATTGTATTTTCTCTTGGTTAATAAACGATTTGTTTGGCGGGTGTTGGAAGCCAGCCAGAGCTAGTCATGCCATTTCTTGGAAAAGATCTGAAGCAACTGGTAATTGAAATGATAATCATTTGATCATAGTTAGAGCTATTTGAAAATAACACTCATCTCCAGACTTGTCTCTTCTAGGGAACCATATTTGGTAAAACTGTTGCCAAATTCCATTTTTGCTAATGTTGAGCCTGTATACCATGATACTTAATTATTTTCCAGTATATTCTAAACTTGATTTCTGGTTTGCCCTTTCCAGAAGCTGTTCCCATATGCTTTGAAACAATACCCAGCCTGAATTTTTATTCTGGCATTTAATAATCACCATGTAATAGCTATAAAATGCGTGACAACTACAGATCTTTTATTTCAAGAGGATGGTGTAGTGAGTCTGAGTGAAATCATCCATTGAAATGGTACTTTGTAATATGCCCCATTGTTTATAAAGTATTGACTTTTTTTTTTCTTGAGCAGAAGATAAAAACAGTTCCCACTTTGTCTCCTATTTAGTGGAAGTTCATATTTAATCATGATAAGGAAAGGATTCCATTACAAAAGTTTTACTTTTCATTTTTGATTGAGATTTGTTATTTTGCTGCTACCTAACAAACTCTTCTCAGAGGCAGTTTGGAACTGGATGAGGAAAAGTGAAATTTTAGATCCTACCTTAAAACATTTTAAAAAGACTAAATGTTTTCAAATCCAGGGCTTTTTTACTGTATGAAGCTTATCTTAATAAACCCTCTTTTGTTTGCTTGGGAGTAGTGTGTACAGGGTGTGTGTGTGTGTGTGTGTGTGTGTGTGTGTGTGTGTGTGTGTGTAGGTGGGAGAGAAGAAGGAAAGAGGCATGCTTTATAGAAAAATTAGCCAAAATCACTTGTGAATTCCCTTTGTTTAATAGCTCAGAGACATCTTCCTGTTGTTTGTCAAAAATATTTCTAAGATTTTGTAAGCTTAGGGGTTTTCACAGCTCAGCTTTCTTCAGAAATGTGAAGTAAAAGAAATGAAAGAAGTCAGTTCAAGTTGAAATGTCAAATGCTTCAAATAATCTAACTTTAAACCCAGTGAGAAGATCTTCTTAAGCCTTTTCCAAAGAATCTTCAGGAAAGAGAGGCCCTCCTTTGCTCCATGGATAGATATCTATTAAATATCTTGTTGGATTAATTCTGAGTCAGAAAAGTTGGTTGTTTCCTGGAAGCAATTGAAGATGCTTAAAATTCAAATTTATGATCCATAGGAGAAACTTAAGTTTCAACTACTTTTCTTACATTCAAAGGCTCTCTCCTCACCCGCCCTCTTGCCTCTTACCCCATATGTATTAAGAGAAAAAATCAGTTCATTTCTCAACTTACAAAGTTTTTAAGAAACTTGAGAATGTGTAAGTTTCTTTCAGTGGGAAGCACATAACATTTATGAAGTATTTCTTTTGGGATTACATCACAGTTTTATTTAATTTTAGGACAAAAGTTAAATTCAATATTTGTGTATAAGCCAAGGGAAAATGTACCATAAACATAGGAATTTGGGGGTGAGTCAGAGTTCCAAGAATCCCAGATTTACTTAGACCATTTATATAGAGACAGGCTAACCATTAGTCATCTACTTCTTGCTTTTTTACTTTTGTAATTAATGGCACCTAAAAATTAGCTTTCACCCAAGTGGTCAAAAAGGGAGACTGAGCTTTGGCAACTAGCATTAAAAATAGCTATTAGAATTACTGACCAATTTTTGGACATTTTCTAAGCACATAACAAAAAAATCCTGTAAATTACACCTTAGCTAGACCACAAGCAGTGAAAAACCTTTGAAATGAAGTGAGTTATTGAAGGTCCTCTGTCACCAAAAAAACACATTGTCTGCTCACATTAGATTAAACTACTCAAATGGCATTTCAGATGGGCTTTATTGAAAAATGTATTATTTACTTCAGAACCACCAATACTGTTGTTCTCTCCCAACTACCTCTTGTAGGATGAAGTCATTGCTGTTTCCGAAAAGGTGATTGTGAAGCTTGAAGACCTGGTCAAGTGGGTACATTCTGACTTCTCTAAGTGGAGATGTGGTCTCCAAGCTGGGTCAGTGAAAACGGAGTCCCTGGGAAGGAATGGACAGAAGGAAGCTCTGCTGAAGTACCGGCAGTCAACCTTGAACAGTGGACTCAACTTCAAAGACGTTCTCAAGGAAAAAGCTGACCTTGGTAATTATCCTTTGTATTTCTAAATCTAACATGTGGGCACATACAGTAACCACTTTTTTTATTGTAGGTTTTTCTAGAAACCCTGTCATCGTATCTGTGTGTGTGTGTATGTGTGTGTACATATATATGTATACATATGTAATTTATTTAATCTCAAAGGGACCTGGGAATATGAATGGATAGATGACTGGGTGTGTAAGAAATGGATGTTACCTGTTGGATCACAAGACCTTCTATTTATGGAGCCCTGTGCTAGAAACTGGATGATATAACACATGGCATTTAGCAGCTTCCAGTAGCGTCCCTCATAGCTTGTTGGTAAAGAATCCGCCTGCAATGCAGGAGTTCCCGGTTGGATTCCTGGGTCAAGAAGATCCTCTGGAGAAGGGATAGGCTACCCACTCCTGCATTTTTGGGCTTCCCTTGTGGCTCAGCTGGTAAAGAATCCACCTGCAATGTGGGAGACCTGGGTTCGACCCCTGGGTTGGGAAGATCCCCTGGAGAAGGGAAAGGCTGCCCACTCCAGTATTCTGGCCTGGAGAATTCCGTGGACTATACAGTCCTTGGGGTCGCGAAGAGTTGGACACGACTGAGTGACTTTCACTTTCACTTTCAGTTGCTGTCAAAGCGTAAGTCTTAATTGAGGCACCCAAAATTGAATGAGTGGAGAGTTTAAATATTTGTTTTGAGTAGATAATATGACATTTATTAGGACTGTGTCAGGAAAGCAAAATGAGGAAGACAGATGAATTACTTAATGTGGATCAAGGGAGCAATGTCAGAGTAGGGGAATTGCTGGTTGGCAACTCCTGGCCTAGGTCCCCCAAGAATTTTTAGTGTTCAGTGGTCACCATCAACTATGTGGTTTTTTCTTTCCTTCCTTCCCCTCTTCCACTACAGCTTTAAAGGAGAATTTGGGATTCAGTGTCATTATTTTGTTTAGTGTTTGAATCCTGACTCTTGCTTACTTAGCTGTGTAGACTTGGGCAAATTAACCTCCAAGCCTGGAAAATGTGAAAACTTTTCAGGGTCACTGGGAGATGTAACACCCAGTGATAGGTGTATATTGGTGTATGGAAGGAGCTCTATAATTTATTCTGTTGCTTTTTCTTAACACTCTTCTCCAATGAATTTTTTGTGTGCTTTCCTGTTTTTTTCTCTTGTGTCTCCCGGGTAGCGTTCACTGACTTACTTTCCTAGCATTGCTCAAGACCAACGTTGTTGACCTCTGATTTAGACCAGTTATTTCCTCTTTAGGCAAAGAGGAACTTCACTTTCAACATATTAAAGCATCTTTTTCTTTCATTCTAGCACAATGCTGATTTTCATAGCCCTATTTTATGCGTTAATGTGACAACTTCCTGTTTTTTCTTTTAACCTAGATTTTAACTACTACAACAAACTTAGACTATTTTAATTGGCATAATGAGACTAAATAACACCGGTAACTGACTTGTCTTTTGTGTGATTCTGGTTTGTGATGAGCTATGCTGTATTTTGGGAATAGCATTAATATTTTCTTGCAGTTTGAGTTTAATAATCAACAGTTTCTTGGCATCTTTTGTTAGATGTCAGACAATAATATTTTGGTCATGGTGGCCCAGTTGTCATGTGCATATTTAGAGAAAATTATTAATCTATTGGTTTTTATTTTAAAACCAAAGAATTTCTTTCTTTTCTTTCTTTCCTTTTTTTTAACTGATTTTCTTATATAGGCTGTTACAAAGGCCAATTTTATGAACACATGTGACTAGCCTTCTGACATGTGGTAATGCTGAATAATACAGCTGTTGTGTTACTTGCCTAATATATGATCTAAACTGTATTGCTATTGTCTTATGTTTTTCTTAACATTAAAACCTTCCTTTTGTTTGTTTGTTTTCTTTTTAAGTTATGAAATATACTGTTACTAATAAAAAACTAAACAGGAAACCCATGGGGGACAAAAGGATGTGTAGATGGTTAAGCTTGATGTCACACATATAAACAAGAGTATTTATAGCAGAGCTGTTTTTACATTTAAAATTATTAATGAATGAAAAGAAACCCAACTTCTTAATTTCATCAAGACATTTAGAGGTTTTGATCTTCCTGAATTCTAAAAATGTCCATAATGTAACTCTTTAATAATTGATTCCAGAAGAAATTGGTTTATAGTGCATATTCAAAGTACTTAGTGGTTTTTAAATCTTGTTGTTCATTAGACTCACTTAGAGAAATTTTTTAAATAATACTGATTGCTGAGGCCAGTTTTCCCAGATTCTTCATTCAGTAAGATTGAGGCAAGGCCAAGGAATGTGACCTGATAAAAGTATCTCTAGATGACTGATTTTTTGGGGGGGGTTGGGGGTGGTCTCATTTGGGAAACAGTTCTATGATTAGTGCAGAGGAAGGGAAAATAAGCAACAGGAGATTTGACTGGGAAAGCCCTCTGAAGAATAAGGAACACTGTGTATTTTTCTCTCTCTTTTTTTAATGTAAAATACCTCTTTAAGGGATAGAATTTGGGGCCTTGAAATTCTACTTAGTTGGTATGAACTGTGGGGAATTTGAGACAAATAGCTTTTGTAATTGGAATGCACACTGTGTTGTAATAATGTGGAAAGAGAAACAAAAACTTTCCTTAATGTAATGAGTTTCCATTATCTGCTTGATCTAAGGGTTGCAAGTCTACATTGCGAGGATTTATATTGGGGAGATTGGGGGTGTCCTTTGCCCTGTGCATTCCTGTCCCAACAACTTTCTCTTCAACCTCTTACTTTCTCTGTCTGCAGCATCAAAATATTTGTTGTCTGCACTTTTCTTTCTACACAGTGGTTTTCTTATCTCCCTTTCTCTTGGCCACACTGAAACCACTTCCAATACCACATTGTTGATGGAAGTTCACACACTTATTAGGTTTTTCCTTCTGTAGAACCCTTCCAGCTCCTCATTGTTCTTACCAGGGAAAGAAGATGAACTCTGAGATTACTTAAGACCCCCTCCCTCTTTTTGTCTAGCAGAAGTAAGGAAAGAATAGACTGATCTCACCTTCCCGTGGATAAAGTAAAACTCCAGTGTGTTATTTTTCTCACTGAACTATTTTGCAATATTAAAATATCAATAATAACAAAATAATTTGGTTGACTCTTAAAGAAGGGATTTTACCATATAAAAGCTATTTAAAGAACTCTTCTTGTTCAATGTTTAGTTAGAATAAGTCCCCTTTAATCCCAGTTTGTCACTTCCTGTCTCTGAATAGTAAAAAAGAAAAAAAAAGAAAAAAGAATGTTCTCACAAATGTGTTTCTGCCAACAAATTAATACTCCATAAAGAGAAACTCTGCCCCAAATGGCAGCTTCCAATAAGTGCTCTGACTCAAATCATCAAATCACTACTCTTTCATTTTTTTAATCCCCTTGCCCTTCAAGGACAATATTTGCGGATGTCATGTTTGCTTTTTAAAAAAAAAAAAAACAAAACCTATTTAAGATCGTAAATGATGACTAAAACTGCAGATCTAGATAGTGTGGAAAGTAATAATCTTAAAAAAACACTTCTGAGATGTGCGAGTACACTCGTCCCTTTCCCCCTTCTTTGTCCTTTTCAAAGAAAGAAAGTTCAATATGAAACCAATTCAAATTGTGACTTTACTCAGTGAAATATTTTACCTTCTTTCAGACAGTTTCATACTGAAGTTTATAGAAAAAGGAGGGAAAAAAATAACTATGTTAAAATAGAAGGGTTAAGGAATGTATTATTCATAAGCATAATGAACACAGGAACCTGTTTTTCCAGAAGAATTGGGTTGATTAAATCATTCACTATACAAGCCTCTAGTTATTTATTTTTGTCTTTAGAATTACAGTACTTAGCGTTTGTAATAAAGTGGACCTGATACCCATATTTGGTATGGCAGTTGGAACTAGTCAAATGAAGAATTATTTCATTTTATGAAACTTTTAGCAACTAAGGAATATAAACACTATCAGTTAAACATAGCATACTTGCATTTTTTTTATTCCTTGGGCTAAAGTTTGAAAAAAAATCAAATTATTTTATATAACACTGCTTCTTACAGAGTTCCTTTAAGTGAAGTATGAAAGCTGCAGTGTAAGCTTTATTGGCCTATAAATATGTCATTATAGTTGGACTACATTTATATGCTTTGGATTGTTGTTTAAGCCAAGAAAATATGTCTCTACAGGTTGACTTTTTATTGAAACCCTTTGAGGCATACAACAGAACGTATTTTAGGCCAAGGTTATTAAAGCAGCATTTTCTTTTTTTTTTTTTTTTTTTTGCAGCAGACTCATTGTCAATTATGCTGCCACAAATTGTCTGTGAATGGAACAGCTATGAATGGTTTCATCTCCAAATGTGTCTGTAGAAAAAGAAAGAAAAGATAGGGGAATCTGAGCTGAAATTGAGAAAAGAGACCAAAAGATGTGGGTGTGGGTAAGGCTGAATTTATTGATGGGGGTTCCTTCAGTTCGATTTCTGTTTCTAAAGTCCCATCAAATTGAGAAAGAGTGCCTTCCCCGGTCTCTTCTGTTGTTGAGACTTCTACTGTACCTTGGGGAATAGATAGCATTGTCAGAATCAAGGAGTCATGGTTTGGAGGTCAGGAGAATCTTAGCTCTTCCTGCCCTGCAGACGTCGCTCGGGGCACAAGTCACTGTGTGTTTACACCTTCTGGTCCCTCATGTGTGAAATGGATAATAGTGTGTGCTTTGTTTTTTGAGAAGATAGACTGAGAAAAAAGTATATATGGAAGCATTTGTGAAGCTGAAGTCTGAGATGGTTTTGTCATCATCATAGTATTATGAGAAGGAGGTTCTATATCAAAGGGAGCTAGGCGGTATAATATTAGCTAACTTGTCTCTTAAGAACATCCCTAATCTCATGTTCTGGTGATTTGGGGCAGGGTTTACGCCCTCACTATCTGCCTCGATAGAAGACTGTTATTAAAATCCTTTAGGTTCTTGCTTTTACTTATATATATTTTATATATACACATA